AAGCCTTTTCAGCTCCACACCCCCGACGTCCACATGTGGGGATTTGCCCCAAGAGCCCCCAGGGAGCTCCGAGCCCCTTGATTGAGGAACAGTGCAAGACTCTACAGGTTTAGGGTTATTGGGATAATGGAAAAGAAAATGGAAACTACTATAATGGGTTATATAGGGCTTATAATAGGGTTCATATTGGGGTTATATTGGGATAATGGAAAAGAAGGTGGAATCTACAGAGGTTTAGTGTTCAGGGTTTTGCAAGACCCTGAGGCTCCAAATGGCCCAATGTAGCGACTATTTATAAACATTTGGGCCCAACGTAGGTATTACTTGTAGACATGGAGCCCCAGGGAGAGTTTCAGGGTATTTGGAACTTGGTTCCGAAAATTGTACGCTATGGTGCTTTGGCTCGCGCTTTCATCAGAGACTGCGGCCGGCAGTCGTGTTAGCTCCAGCGCCCTATCCCACACCCAAAGCCCAAGGTGCTGAACTCTACTGGGGAAAATCATGTTTCTTCTCACATCGCTTTAGCGACCAGCGCACCACGTGCGGAAGGTGCAGCGTGCTGTGGACGACCTGGTGCAGCGTGGCCGCCAGGATCAGCGTCAGCATGCGGGCTTTGTTTGTTCTGGGCTTATTTTTGGGCAGATCCGTAAAGACCAGCCTCCCCTGCGACGGTCCCACAACTTGATGATATGCATGGCTCCGCAGAGAATCTCGTTACTCGTGCTTGAAGACTTGGAGGCTGCGCCTCTCAAATGCGGTGTCCATGTGAAAGGTTGCCATTGCAGTGTAAAGGATTTTCTGCAAAATCTTCCGCTGTTTTGAGAGCGAGCGGGATTTAGGGCATTTTTGCATGTGGCATACGGGCACTACGTGCATAGACTCCTGCGGCAATGAGATATTGATCCCCAGAGTCATGTATTGCAGTCTTTCTTTGTAATGGTCTTCTCTGTGACAAAGGCATTGCACTATGGACGAACTGCTGTTCAGTTTTACATGTTTAGGGTGCTCTCAGGCAGGGACCGAATATTAATAATTCCTCACATGTCCTTTGGGTCTGCCAAGTAGAAAGAGTCAACCAGGACATGCAGTCAGAGAAATGACCCTGGGGCTTTATAACCCCTATCATACTTCCCTGTATAACTCTCTATATAACCTCCTTTGAGGAGTTTGGACCAATTGTCATATACCGGGATAACACGGGTAGTTTTGGCTCCCTGCCTTAAGGGGGTAGAGTTAAGGTTTGGGGTCTAGGCCGTATCGTCCAACTCAATATTACCAATGTGTAGTTCCAACCGTATCCCTGCAACGCATTCTCAACGAGTGCAAGGCTGCACATAGCCATTCTCAAGTTACAGCACGTTCGCAGGCTTGGGGTGCAAATTTTTCAAGTGCCGAATCCAAACGGTGTACCCTGAATATGAGGATTGCTCTTGCTGTCTCAGACGAGAGGACCCTTGCTGTTTGGTCGTAACTGTTTTTGTTTGCAGCCTAGAGCCTAGGCATTTCCATTTTCTTTTGCATCATCCCTATATCGCCCTTGTGTAACCCCTATATACCACCCATATCATCCCCTAAACTCAAACCCTAAACCCTAAACCTGTATAACCCCATTTTACAAAGCTTTTTCAAGGCTGAGCCTGATAAAGCCTTTGTGACCCCAAGCCTTCGCCTGGGATCCCGGCCCTGATGCCCTCAGCTCAGAACCCTAAACCCTAAATCCTAAGCCCTGAAGCCTAAACTCCTGTAAGCCCTAAACCCCAAACCCTAAATCCTAAACCCAAAAGCCCCGAATGCCCCAAGCCCTAAATCCTAAAGCTTAAAACCTAAACTCAAAACCTTAATGCGTTACAACACCGCAGTTTCGGCCCCGAGCTACCCCTGCCCTTGGCTCCTGTTTGTGCTGCCCTCTGCTTTCCTCCCAGAGGCAGCTTGCTGAGAAGGGAAGCGGGGGCTTGCAGGGGTGGGGTATAGTTGTGTAGGGTTTACGTAGGGTTTAGGGGTTTAGGGTTGTAGGGTTTTAGTTTAGGTATATATGTTGGGTCAATGGTCCATCCAGCAATGGTACCACCAAGGACAATTGTAGGGGCCTTATTAACTGCATATTTAGGGGCTACTACTGCAAGTGGGATTGACCTAAGCGGGTTGTAGCGGCGAGGGATGAGGGCTGAAGGAGAAGACTGGGAGCCTTCTGAAAGTCGTGATTACTTTCTAGTCCTATGAACCAGCGGAGATGAAGAGTTCTACCGGGGCTAAGTCACCCAATACCCCTAACCCCTATATGCCCATATATATATATGTATATGTATTTATATTTAAATTTCGATGCAACTGGAGAATCGATTGGAAAAGAAAGTAGAACATGAAACATAAACTGGGAGTATATGGTGGCTTACAGCACTCAAGGTTTCCCAGCACTAGGCCCAAAACCCTCAACCACGTTGTGTCGGGCTTTGGACTTATCATGAGCAGCAAGCTGAAAAGCTGAAGCTTATGCCAGGAGCTTAAGTGTTAGTTCTCAAAATGGGGGGGGGGGCAGCAATATAGACCTTAGAATATTATGATCCTTGTCATAGGCACCCCCAAATTGTACCCGGATTTTCGAAAGCCAGCAAGTCGTCAGGAACCTGGCTTACTTTTGGGGACCTTTCATTTTCCAGGGGTTTCCTTTGATCAGGCATGCGCCTTTAGCTTTAAGACTGTTCCTGGCACGTCCTGCTTCCGCCGTTAGATTAAAGTCAGAAGCTTATGAATTCCCGCCCACTGTTCAAACCCCAGCAATTCTGCCACAGTCACCACAGTCCTGGTCTCCTCCCCCTCAAAAAACACCGCCCTACCCAACAAACACAACGTGCAGAATAACCTTCGCTACCAAGACCTAAGCCTCAGAGTGCGTAAGAATGCTATGCCCTTACATAGCCCCTATATAATCCATATGTAAACCATATATACACCATATAAAAACACGATATAAACTCCAGATAATCCCTCTAGTCCCTATAGGCTAGCCGTTTGAGGCGACCAAGATGGACCACAACACGTACTCCCAGATGCTGCCGCAGATTCCTGCCCGCATTTTCCCATGCGTTTCAATACACGAGCGTTTTCGGGTTTAGCCCTTAGGGTTTTTCAGGCCTCAGCATGCTTCATCAAGGGGTCCTGTCGCTCTCAAGCACTGTGGAAGGTATTGGTGAAGGCACATACAGTTTCCATGAACAACGAATTCATTGTCGCCACCGTCGTCCTCGTTGTCGTCGTCATGATCATCATGACCATCATGAAGCTTACGCTGGGTAGCTTGGGAAAAAGCTGTGGGAAGCACATGGTGAGCTATCAGGAAAAGGGCAAGGCACTTGATATCAAGGTGCCGCTGACGAGTGTACGGCTGTCTCTATGGTCGTCTCTGTGGCGTTTAGGGCGCAGTGTGAAAGGTTTGCAGGGCCAGTCTAAAACACAGCGCCCTTTAGCTCAAGCGTTCTTTCAGCTATTAGGACAGAAGTTCCGCCAACTTCCCTGTAACAAGGAGAGCTTGGTATCCCCAACCCCACAATTTGGACCCTAGAATCATCATCTGAGCTATAGTCTACAAGTAGCTTTCAGTACTTCTGTGCTCCAACGCATGATTGGTAACCATGTTGTGCCTTTTGCTATACCTGAGATGACCCTACCTCAAAAGTAAGAAGATGACACCAGAAGAGTTTTGAGCCTTTCTTTGTGAATTTTTGAACCTAATTCTTGGAAAAACTGCTGCGTCCTTCCAGATCAACTCAGAAAGGGCAGACTCCGAGGCGCCAGGAAGAGCACAAGAGCTTGCACAGCCTCCCCTGTACCTTGGAGCTGTGCCCGGGCCTGCACAAGGCGTTTGAAAGAGTCATTATCAGCAAAGTATATGGAGGGTTGTCAGAAGTATGATCCCGTTTTAGGTACCCTAAAAGTTAGGGGCCGTGTGATCCTAGGGGCCTGACACAGGACCATAATTCTGACAGCCTACCGTATAAGAAGCCGAGTTTTTTAGATTGGCAAGAATGCCGCCATGATACAGTATCATTATTTAGGATTTAGGATACAGGGTTTGGATTCAGGGTTTAGGGTTCAGGTCCGCCTGAGCACGTGAGAGCGAGAGAGGGTTTAGGATTTCTGGTTTGGGGTTTAGCGTTTAGGGTTTTGGGTAGGAACTCTGGGATTAGTGGTAGCTTCCTGCCTGCCTGGCCACAGAGAACATACTAACTCCCCCCCTCATGATCAAACTTCCCATTCCCTCGCAACACATAACTGGGAATGCTTGTTAATCGTCTCCCCTTATAATGAACTCCACCCTGCCCCCCCCTTGAATAACAAGATAGTCCCATACAGTACCATTGTATCCTGCTGGGGAGTATGTAGTACTAGGGGTTGAGGAGGTCAATGCTAGGGGTACCCTAAAGCCTTAAAAAAGGCTTGCATTTCATGTTCCATTCTCTTTTCCATTTGATTCTGCTTCATTGGGGTAGTATCCCTATATACCCCTTTAAAGGGACCTAGGGCTTTTATTTCATTTTCCATGTCCTTTTCCATTTGATTCTGGATTATTGGAGGATGTTTACATTCATGGCTGGTCTGCATCTGGGGTTGCATGGGGTTTAGGGTTCAGGGCTCGGTGGATTTTTGGAGGTGAGGTTTGGCGGGCAGGGTGAATACTGTTTAGCATTCCGAAGTAGCTTCACCCTGGCCCAACCTGGGTCTGCCGGGAGGCTGTTTAAGATAGGTTGCTAGGACAGGCTCCGCTGCTTGAATATGGCTCTGTTGGGACCTTGAGATATTTTATTCAGGCCATAGACGGGGTGCCGGCAGACCCGAGTGAGGGGTCCACAGCGCCCCGCATTGTTGGCTTTGGATGTAGGACTATCTCATGTCTAAGTGGAAGAGGAGAGGAGGAGGACGACGACGAGCAGGAGCAGCACGCAGTCACAGCGTTAGTGGCATCTGTCATCGTCAGGGTAACAGTGAGTGCAGCCTCCTGCAAGGCTGGAAAACACCTTCGGCATGATCCAGTCTGAGTCAATGGACCGGGGGCCATTAAATCAAACGTCCACTGTCATTGTGCGAGTGACCATCGCCGTTATTTGAAGGGTCGTGTATATCTGCTTACTATGACTGGCGGCCTGTGCCTTCATCTATGTTTCCTCAAGGGTCTGAGGTTTAGGCTTCTCTGTGTCTCCTAGCGTACTTGCCTTCAGAAGCCCATCTTCGTTTGGTCTCCGGTTTTTGTAGGCTCTCTCGCTAGAGTGCTGTGCGACATTCTCACTCGAGATGCCGTGGTAGTGCGGGAGTTCGGCGTACTCTTGTGATCCCATCCAAGCAGTGGCAGGACAACGGCCATAGTCTACTTGTGTCTACTTATTTGCAAAACAGGTGCGCGTTTGACAACACGGAGCTGAGTTGGGCCTGCTTAGCTCCCTGTTCAGCGAAGCCTCAAGATGAAATGCCGGTTTCGAAGGGTTCCCCAAGAACTCTTCAACAGTCGCCGCAACCCAGGGTGGGAGGCACTAAGCCCGCAACTTCTCTCCAGGACCTGCAAAACGATCCTCGGTTTTTTCAGGGCAACATCCTCAACAAGAGGCGCGGTTAAAAACCTCAAGCCACGAAGGTCGGGCATTGGAGAGGTGAGCATTTGTTTCTCAGCAGAAGGGCCCTTATTTCTGGGAGTTCCAGCCACGGAGAGCAGAGGGTTCCCTGGTGAATTTTGGAATTTCGGGTCATGATGATGCACGATCTGGGGTCGAGGGCTTCTGCCCGGAAGTAAAAAAGTCTAAAGCTTTGGATGTGACTTCCAGAGGTACCAAGGTTGACCGCGTAGAGCTGCCTCAAGACTATCTCACTGGCTTCCGAATTTGGTATCTCCGGTCAGGAAGCTTGCTATGTACTATGTACTTTCCAACATTAGCTGTCGTCAGCACGAGGAAGTCGACGGTCATTGTCGAGTCTTTAGCTTATGCGGTGGATCGCGAGTTGTCCAGCTTCAAGGTAACACGGATACAATCAATTTGGTTTATAGAGATGCCGCGAAAGTTAAGTCAGCCGGGTTCCGCCACGCACGTCATGCTTCTCTTCGTTTATGTCCGTTGTCAGAAGCTGCCCATGCCCTTCTAGCTAAACGATAATGTTGATGGTAGCTGGCGCGGGCCTGCCGGCGAAGAAGCAGAGCTCCCAAAGCGGGGCAGACTGAACACATGAGCTACAGTCTAAACTCCTTAAACGGGGGGTTTATAGGGGAGTGTATAGGGGACTACTATAGAGGTTATTAAGGGGGATACTAGGAGTTTAGACTATGGCTCATGTGAAGTAGACCTGAACTGTGAAGCACCCAAATGCTGGGCCCTACATTCTTGGGCGACTTATCCCTGAAGCTGCACACACATGGTGCTAGACCCCCAGAAGGATCGAAAAAATAGAACCCCCTAATAATCCCCTAGTATCCAACGTAGCAATGGGTTCATATTGGAGGGGTTTCCATTTTTCGGATCTGTTTAGGGGGTCTGGTGGTGCTGGAGCCCAATCTGACAGCCATTGATTGTTGTAGCCCTCCTGCAACGTGTGGTGGAGAGCTTGCTACAGTCTAGTCTACGTATTGCTTGTTCTAAGACAACCAGCCAGGCGCAAACATTCAACTCTTTGATTCCTAGTTCGACAAGCCTGGTATTCACGGAAGCAGTCAGGTTGAGTACTATAATCCCCTCCCCTTCATAATAAATACTCCCAATCTATTATGCTATACCACAATTGGGAGTATGTAATACTAGGGGTGGACCTAATATTGGGGGTGGGGACCCTAAACCCTAATTCCCTAAAGGGGGGGATTAGTACACTGCAAGCAAGAAGCGTACAAATCATGTTGACCACTCCGCTACTACTGATGCGACCAGCTATGATGACAGGAGGTTCCAGACAGCGAAAATAAATCATGATGACGATGCTGATTATCATGTAATTAGCATTGTTATTATTCTGACTCTTTTGTTGTTGATATCATTCTTACTACTACCATGTTTAGTCGTGTTATTACTGGCCAACATCTGCCGAACAATCAAAGCAAGCAGTACGCGAACAATGTCAGCAGGCACACTGCCGCAAGAAACTGGAACGAACAGAGTTCATAACACTGGCACCACCGCTAGCGGCCCAAACAGTAACCCAGACCCCTGATTAATAAACCTCCCTCCCCTTAATAGGGATTATAATAGGGATCCTAGTATTAAGGCCCTTAAAGGGAGGGGCTTTATTAATCATGGGTCTACATTATTCTAAACCACCCCGTGCTTTCTTGTGAACATGCATTGTCCAGGCTGTCTGCCTTTGCCCAGCTCAGCGTGGTGTCCAGTTTGATGGCCGTCTGGACGCGCTTGGGGAAACTGTTGCTCAAGGGGGCTTCGGGGGGTAGGGACTCATGCAAAACCCTGAACCTCTAAACCCCTAACCCTTAAACCCTCCATGTAGCGCTGGACCTTGCAACCTTTGCCACCCCCATACCCAGTATGAGCCAATGCTCAGATCCCCATTTTGGCCAGACGCAATCCTCATGTGAGCCATATATACCCCAATAATGGAGAATCAAGTGGAAAAGAAAATGGAAAATTAAATGGAAACTGGTATATATATATATATAGAGGGTTATAATGGGTTATATTAGGATTATATGAGTAGATATGAGTTATAGTCTAAACTCCTTATAGGGGGTTATATAGGGGATTGTATAGGGCAGTATAATCATAAAGGGGGATACTGGGAGTATGACTCTAGCTCATGTGATCTACGGACTACGGTCAGGTTGGGGGCTATAGGGGGATATTCATGGGACCTAGTAGCTGATATATTACAACTTTAGCCCAGGGTTCATGTAGTCTGTGCTTTGCCCTTGTGTCTTTTTCCATTGCTTTCAAAAGAAATACTACACTGCAGAAGCATTTATCTCCGTATGTGCATGTGTGTACCCAAACCCCTGGGAGGATCTAAAAATTAGATCTCCTATATAGACCCATTATAATCCCTATATAACCCTTATATAGTTTCCCCTATGGTTCTAGGGGATCTAATTTTTAGATCCTTTTGGTGGTCTGGGTAGAAGCTCTTAGTCAAGCTTCTCGAACCTCGGAGTCCCGAAACACTTCATATCAAGAAGACTATGTGAATAGCACGGGCTTCAAGGTGCTCAGGGGAGGATATGGGTGTTTCCCAAAATGGTCTCCTCATAATCCCCAGTAAAGATTCGTAATCCCCTTGTAATCCCTACATGAGCCGTGGGGTCCCTCTCTCCTAGGGGTCCCCCGTTTTGTGATTCCAAATGGATTTTAACACGGGCACGCTTCTATATCCGTATATAGTATATTCCTCTAATGTGGGGGTAAGGTATCCTTGTAGACACGTAGGGAGGCACTAGATCTCTCTTGTCCATGGTCCAGGGTTAAGCCAAGGTTTGTAGGCCTGCCAATGCTTGTGCGTGGGACGTGGAGACATTCCCCGTGATATTTAACACATTCTTATATACCTCCGCAAAACAAATTGTTTTTGTGTGGCGCGATACCAGAATGCGTATCATGGGCTTACTATGAGGAAAAGGGGGTTCAAGCTTCAATCGGCAGGCACCGTACCAAGCCCTCTTCACCCAAGGCCGTACAGCCCACAAACAGTGACCCCAAACCTTGCGTACACGTGTTAAAAAAGCGTCCCCGCAATCCCACACGGACCATCACTACAGTACACATACAAGACCTCACCGCTAAAAAAGTTTGAACTTATAGAGCCTCCATTACAGGGTCTGAGAACCTCCATTATCCCAATAGAACCCTAATACAATCCCAAATAACCCCAATAATCTCTGTAGTTTCAATTTTCTTTTCCATTATCCCTAATATTACCCCAATAATCCCTGTAGTTTCCATTTTCTTTTCCATTATCCCTAATATTACCCCAATGGGTGATACCTGGGAAGCTGCTAGCAGATGGCTTTTGCCAGGTGGGCGCCTGCAGCCACGTCATCGCAATGAAGATGCTGGGTTTGATAAGATTTCGATTTTTCCTTGAAAAATGTGTTAATTCTGCTGTTCATGACCCTGAGGACCAGCTGAACTAATGATTTTGTAAGGTTCTAGGGAACTTAGAGTTTTGGTGTTGCAGGGTTTTGGGCCTCGAGGTGTACTGGTTCGGGGCGTAGCTTTTTGTCTGATAGGGTCTGGGGATTTGGGGGTCTGGGAGTAAACCCTACCCCCCTAAACCCTAATCCCTAAACTCCGAAACCCTAAACCCTAAACCCCTGATCCCTAAATCCTACACCCCTAAACCATAAAACCTAAACCCCTAAACCTTAATCTGCAACCCCTACTCCCTAAACCCCTTCAACCCTGAAATCCCAAACCCCTATATCTTAATCCCTAAACCCCCAAGCCCCTAAATCCTAATCCCTAAAGCCCCCAACTCCAGAGCGCCTGTTCCGGGATAATGGAACATAAAATGGAAACTAATATCATATGATGTATATAAGGGTTATATTGGGATGATGGAAAATAAAATGGAAACCACTAAACCCTAAACCCTAAACCCTAAAACCCTAAACCCTAAACCCTAAACCCTAAACCCCTAAACCCTCTAGGGGAGGATGGCGAGGCTAGGTTGCCAGGCGTGCGCTGGCTGCGAGCAGAAAACACTTTGGGGGAAGGTAGACCCCTTTACTTAGGAGCTGGGTAGGTAACCTTTAACCTTTTGGGGTATATATAGTCCTACCATAATACAAAGGTTAACCTTTTTGGGGCCAGGGAACTCAGCAACTAGGTTTATTAACCAGCCCCCCTTCCTTCATGGAGTATTTAGGACATTTTAGGGTATCTAGGGTATTTACTCACCTAGGTCATTTAGGTTTAGGGTTCATGTAAACCCCTTATTAATAAACACCCCGTTCATAGGGATTATAAGTAGGGAATGTAGGGATAATGGAAAAGAAAATGGAGACCATTATTGTATAATGTGGTATTTAATAGGGATTACAAAAGGCATTTTAATATTAAGGCCCTTAAAAGGAGTGCTTTATTAATCACGGGTTTACATAATCTCGCCAGGACATATGAGCTATCGTCCAGTCTAATCGCCTTAAAGGGGGGTTGTATACGGGACTACATAGAGTTTAGGGTTAAGGGTTACGCTTCAGGGTTTAGGGTCTAAACTCCTTAAAGGGGGTTATATAGGGGAGTATCATAGGGGTTATTAAGGGGGGTACTTGGAGTGTAGACTATGGTCATGTGTCATAGGACAGCGTAACTACAAGAACCAAGCAGAAGCACATATATATATACATATGTATATGTGCACGAGCTATTATACGGATAGGTCCGCTGTAGGAGACAAGAGTATTGTGCACATTTTTACCAACAATGAAGAACCAAATGGAAACGACATGGAAAAGAGGGTTTCTTCAATCTTCTGCGCTAAGGGGCTCCACAATAGCCTGTGTTGAAAGTTGACAGGAGAAGGTCCCTACTTACATCCCGCAGCAGAATCCCATGTTGACTAAGTGACGCAGAATGGAATAAAGCTCATATGAGCTACAGTCTAAACTCCTTATAGAGGGTTGTTCAGGGGGATACTAGGAGTTCAGACTATGGCTCATATGACTTCGGGTCCAGGACTTCACACCCTGCGGCCCATTCACGGAACACCGTTGCAGCATTATTCAAACTTATACATTTCCTGCCATTGCCATCAACAGTATTCACATCACTACTGAATGCTATTCTGAATAACAACCGCTGCCAGGCTATCATTATCAAATTTCTGTAGGAAGCCGCCACCACGCCCGAGAACAAAATAGGCCTATTGGATCGGGCGTCGCTGTTGACCATCCCCAATTTACAGAACATGAAGCTTCATCGAAGGCTTGCAGAAGTCCTGCAGATCTTCATCTCTCTCAGCCCAGGACCCATTTTATTTTCCATTATCCCAATATAATCCCTATATACTATAGTAGTTTCCATTTTCTTTTCCATTATCCCCATATAGCCCCAATAACATACCATATCTTCATCTTTGAATCCGAAGCCTTCAATCTCTGCAAGCTTCAATGAGGAAAGAATTCAACTTCGTCACCGTCGAAGGCTGACGCGGGATTGATGTCTTCAGGGGAGAGTTTGGATTTTGGGTTGGCATCGTGGGTACTGTGCAACATACACATGCATGGGATGCTAGCTAATTGTTTGTGAGGATGCTGGCGGCTTTGTAAATTTGCAGTCCGCCAGAGATGTATCGCAAATTCACTCAAGGCTTCCCAGTGCAAAGGTGTAGGCTCAAGGTGAGGGTGTAGCCTGCAGAGGTTGTGGTGGAGGGTCCGGCCTTTTTTTAAATCTTGTTAGACTACCCGTCAACGTGCTGCTGCTCACCCGGCATCCTAACCCCTCTAAACCTTATAGCAACCTGGGCAAACCGCCTCTGCGACTGGTGCGTGGCCGCTCTACGGGTCCATAGTCGCCAGAATCGACCCTATGGAATCGTTTTAGGGGCGTAGGGTTCAGGCTTAGGAACCCTCAGGAATATCCGCAGGGCCCCTTATGTTGAGAAATCCCCATGCCGTCCCCAGAGAGCCCAACGCATAAAGAGCGCCGAAGCCCAAGCTTTTTCTTACTTCGGGTAGCAAGCACTGAAGCAATAGTTCTTTAAAGTATTTCTGAACATATAGCTTCCAATGAGCTAGTTGTTTAGAATTTCTTGTGCGATCTCTAAACCCCATACCATACATATCCTTACTTGCCTTGATTCCACATCATTGCAGGGTAATATCCCCGATTTCATTTGCAGCGCAGTGCATTTGCGCTTCCCATGCGGAAAACCCCATGGGATGGCCTCGCATACGCCCAGTGAAATTGTAGGTCCCTTTTATGCGTGAGGTGTACAGGGCTTAAACAGGGAGTGTATAGGGCTGTATAGGCTTTAGGTTTCAGTATCCTTCGCTATCCCGCAGCATTCCCGCAACAATGGAGAATCAAGTGCACAAGAAAATGGAGCGTACAATGGAAAGTGGGCTCATATGGGGCTTCTCGTAAATGTATAACAGGTAGGTATAGGGAAAGTTACCGCTTGTGTGGTCCTGGATTCCTTCTATAGTCGTAGTTTAAGGCACCTCAATTAGACTTCAAATGATATGGGCAATGTGTTGGGCCCCTGTAGCAGGCACTGCACACGGCGTTCAAGAATTCGGGCCATGGACCCCTACCATGGAATCCCTTGTATACCCATGTAAATGTGTACCAATCAGTACAACTTTGACTCAGGCTATGTGAAATGGCCAGTAGAGCCGTCTAATATATGTATATATGTTTTTGTATATGGTCACGTGCTTGCTGCCCCCCCTCCCCCCTCGAATATGTATATATATATATACATATATACATATGTGTGTATATGCACCATTTTAATTTTTGCATGTTCTTTCCGTTTGATTCTCCATGATGGTAGTCTAAGCTCCTTAAAAGGGGGTTTTATAAGGTATCATATGGGGGAGCATTAGAGGGGCTGTTAAGGGGTTTCCTTCATGCAAAGCCATGGAGGCTGGCTGCGGGTCATCAGCTTCATGATGATGACTGCCGAGTTGGGGGGGAGTTGGTCGTGGGGAGCTACGGAGGTGTAAGGGATATGAGGAGCTATATTGCCAGAAAGGGAGTAAATAAGAGAAAAGTCAAAGACAAGGCGCAAATACACCCTTACACCAACCCTTGCTCCCCATGAGTTAGGTTGAGGTTAGTTTTGGGCTCATTACTTGTGAGACATGTCTGGGGTTTGGGGGCCCTTTGGGTCTGGGGGGGGGGGGTTGGGGTAAAGGGAGTCGAGTCTTTAAATCTTACAGTTTGGGCTTAGTTTAGGATCCAGGGTCAAGGGCTTAGGGTAGAGTGTCTACTTAGATTTTGGGGTTCGCGGTTTGGGATTTATGTTCGGGATTAGGGTTTGGGATGTGAAGTCTGAGGGATTCCAAAAGATGTGGGTAGGTTGAGGGGTTTTAGGGTTATGTTGGGTATTGACCCCACTCGACTCAGTAACAGTTGAATAGCAACTTCAGTATGAATACACGTAGATGCTAAGTATATACCCGCTATTATGGACTGTTACTGGGTTGTGGCATTACCTAATAATGATGCATGCGGAAACATTCTGAGGAAGCTAGGTTTTCTGGACTGGATCTAGGGTTTTAAGCCGCTGGATGTTAAGATGTGGGATGTTGGAAGTCGAGTGTACTGTGCATGGTTCAAGAGTCCGAAGGCAGACTTCAGACTGCTTTTGGAATATGGGCTTGGTTTTGCGACATAGGTTGAACTTTTCGCCTCTGTGCGTAGGTGATTTCTTCTCTGTTTGTGCGGATGCGCAGAGGTTGTGTCGCATTCCGGACCATTACACTGCACGCATGGGACTGTAAAGTAGCGTATTCTTTTCCAAAACGCCATTCTTCAGGCTTGAAGGTCCGAGACACGTATTCTCACCGTGCTCACGACACTGGTCAGAGAATCCCATACTCCACCTTGCCAATGACTTGACCAACACGCCTTTGTATTCAGGGCCAAGTTGGTTTGGTACATTGATGTGTGTGTGTGTGTGTTTTTCTTTTCGAGGTGTCGAAGTGTCAGGGTCTGGTCCGTCGACTTTGTTCGGCGGTGACAGTCTGGTCTGCTGATGTTTTTGTCAGGTGTCATGGTCTGGTCATGGTTTTTTAGATGTCACGACCTGCTCCGTGGATGTTTGTTGGGATGTCTCAGTCTGGTCCGCAGATTTGTTTTCGAGGTGTCATGGTCTGGTCCACTGATGTGTTTTGAGGTGTCGCGGTCTTGTCTGCTGATGTTTTTGTAAGGTGTCGCAGTCTGGACCGCTGATGTTTGTGTGTGAGGTCACGGTCTGGTTTGCTGATGTTTTTTGAGGTGTCACGGTCTGATCCGCAGCATTTTTGAGGTGTCACGGTCTGGTCCGCTAATGTTTTTTTTGGAGGTGTCACGGTCTTGTCCGTTTATGCTTTTTCGCGGGTCACGGTCTCGTCTGCTGATGTTTTTGTGAGGTGTCACCGTTTGGTCTGCTGATTTTTTTGAGGTATCACGAGGTGTCACGGTCTGGTCATTTTTTTTAGGTGTCACGGTCTGGTCAGCTGATTTTTTTGAGTTGTCACGGTCTGGCCCGTTGAGTCTTTGGTTGAGGTGTAACGGTCTGGTCGCTTTTTTCTTGGAGGTGTCACGGTCTGATCCGCTGATAACTTGGTGGGTTGTTCATGTCGTCCATGTGAACAGCAGGGATGTCCCCTAGCTCCCCTGATGCTAGCCCTTTGGGCCGCTTCGGGTCCAAGCCACCAACGCTGATCTGTCCCCTTCCTGTGCCCAGCTAGAAGGTCTGCGTGGACGATCGTAGCTTTACGGCTAAGACCTGGCAGCAGCTTGTGGAAAGCGTTCAGGCTTTTGAAGTGTCATGGAATGCTTCATTGATGGGGTTTCGAGGTGTCACGTTCTGGTCCACTGGTCCACTGAGCTGGGCTCCGCAGTTTCACGGTCTGGTCCATGGCTGGGTGTGCCCCTCTCCTTTCCGCCAGCATTGGGAGAAGTGAACAAGCCATTCGGGGTTGTACAGCGTTCAGGGTTAAACCCTTAGCACTGAACTTCAAATCCTAGACCCTTAGCCCTGACCCCCACATCCTAGATCCTATGCCCAAAGCCCCAAACTCTAGAACTTGAACCTCGCAAAACTGATGTCTCGGCTTTACTTAAATCTGAAGTTCAGTCGATTTCAGTCGGTAGGGGCCAATCCTGCACCAGGAGCGTCGTGCTGATTTTGAACATCATTGCAACTTACGTGGCTCAGCACAAGCCTTTAAGGAGGGCTTTGTTTGTGTGTATATAGGTATGCATGCTTAAAACCTTTGGGAGCCTGTACTAACACAGCTATTCCACTTATTCACCTACTTACTCAACCTCTGACCCTCCAAGCAGGGATATACGAAGATTACAAGGGTAGTTTTTCGGATTTGGGATTACAATTCTTATGTGCTGAGAATGGAATCCCTCAGCCCTAAACTGGACCTGAGGCCTCTGCATGGGCTTTCCTGGTTCTTTGGCGGAATGGGATGCTATATTTTTGAACAGGGAACTCAGCAGATTAACGTCCCTGATACTTGATGGGGGTGGTGAAGGCAGGATTAGGTTCCAAATGTCCTGAAGTAGCCTGAACATCCGTCAGGTCTGGCGCTTGTTCAGAAGTCTACATGTCAGATTTGTTAAGACCAGCCCACGTAGTCTAAACTTCTTAGCCTTAAAGGGTGTTATATAGTGGATGATATACGGGAGTAGTATAGGGCTTATTAAGGGGGATACTAGGATTTTTGATTATAGATCATATAAGTATGGTCCACAGTATGATAGAACTTAGGTGGACCCCCCACCCAGTACTAGTGACTATTATGGATAATAAGGATAGTAGGGTCCTCTTATATTCCTAATATACCACTATTACAGGGTGGGGGGTCCTCCTGAATGTAGTAGTTTCCATTCTCTTTTCCATTATCACTATATAACCCCTATATAACCCCTATATTCCCCCAGTTTCCATTTCATTTTCCATTTTATTTTCCATTTGATTCTCCATTATAGTTGATATTAGAACATATTCTAGGGCTTGTTTTGATGACCGGGGAGGCCAATCTTTGGTGAAATTTAGCGCCCTAAGGCCTGAGACACTGAGAAGGTTTAGGGTTTAGGGTTTAGGGTCCCCCAAGCATCCCAAAACCTAATTCTAGAGACTCCACAGCCTCAATGCAACCCGTAATCTCAGAGCCCTGGAGTTCAGGGATCTTGCGAAAAAATGGCGCATTATTGGAAAGATAAACCAAATTTTGGGTTTCAGGCACCAGGAACCATTCAACATGTTTTGCATACTTAGAGACTTTTTCTGCGTTTTCGGGGCAGTTGAAGCTCAAAGTACCGGCCCCGCAAACAACAAATAAATGGCAATGTTGCTTTTCTTAGTTTATTTCCCGGAGTTTGAGTTGCAGCCAGGCATGCTTCTATTATACATTTTAAATTCCAGAGTTGCCACATCAAGTGCTTCCAGACCGGTATCACCCATGCACACGTCCTCCTGGTCTTGGGGACTCCCAGGAACCCTAGGGCTCCAAATGGCCCAATGTAGGTACTATTGATAGACATGGGGGCCCAATGTAGGCAGTATTTGTAGAAATGGAGCCCTACATAACCCCAGGTTCCCATTTGTCCATGTTCTTTTGCATGTTATTCCCCTAATTTTGGGTATCACTTACAGACATGGGGCCTTCCCCCCTGTGGAAGCCGGCAAATCCTTTGTTTGAGTCCTGCAAGCCGGGGGCTGGACGCAAATGATTGCCCCAAGGTGTAGGGTTTAAGGCTTAGGGTTTAGGGTTTAGGATGTACGGTTTAGGGTTAGGGTCCAGAGTCCTCCTAGCCAAGTCCTAAAACAAAGGCCTCACAACCCAAAATCCCGGTCCTTGGCGGTGTGTGGTGGAGGTTGGCATGGCGCAAACTTATCATACGCACCCTGGCTTGCGCAAAGTTCTCATGTGGCTCTATAGTGGTTGGATGACTCGAGGGAGTGATGTAGAAGCCTACGTAAGTACTAAGACAGTGGTGCCAGATTCCTCATACGCTAACTTTACAGGACACCTCGAATAGACTTCAAATGATATGTGTATTTTTCAGGCCTTTGTAGTATGCAAGGATTGAAGGCTTCTAATTATGGGTAATTCAGGGTCTGCTTGTGTGTTGTGCTCCAAAATGGTCTTATATTCTTCAAAGAATCCAAGGCGACTCTAAAAGCAGTGCCGGATGTTACTTGCTTCGTCCTAGCACGGAATCAAGGAAGGAAAGGGTTGCTGGTGTTACTGCAGTAGGGATTAGGGTTTAGGGTTTCGGGTTGGGATTCTTGTGGACTATCTAGGCTGGGTTGGCCTTTGGGATATTCACATATTTTCCTTTGGTATAGTGCCAGGAAGATCAAATATTCCTAAACCCTAAACCTTTTTTTTCATGGGGCTCCAAAGTCCAACCCCGTAGGTATTGTTGTAAGGATACCTTTGTTCATGCCCCACTAAACCCTAGACTCTAGACCCTAAAGCTTAGATTATGATGTAGTAGTTCCCATTTTCTTTTCCATCATCCCCATATAACCCCAATAAATACCCTATAATCCTTATATAACCCCAATAAATACCCTCTAATCCCTATATAACCCCTATATGATCCCTATTATCCTTATATTTATATATATATATATCCCCTATAGAATCCCTATAATCCCTATGCTAAGCTCCGGGTTGAACCTTTGGAGCTTACGGCTTTTCGCATGTGTTGGGGTTTGAGGCTCCAGGCATTCACTGTAGTCACGCTTATGTAGTGCGTGTACATAATCCCTTTATAAGCCCAGATAAGCCCAGATTCCAGTTCATTTTGCATGTCATGTTCTGTGTGACTCTTCATTATTTGGGGCTAGGCGTCTGTAATCTAGGCTAGGTTGCGAGAAAGAAGGGTGGTTTTCTCGTGGGTTAGTATTACCAGCATGTTAAGGGGCAGAGGAGTAGGCAACCTAGTAACCTCCAAATACTTGTGAATTCTCCGTAGTATTCCCGAGGCTCCCAGTTTAAGGACATGCTCTACTATAGCCCCAATTACCTGCAGCTTAGTAGCAATGACCTTGTAACTAACTAGTAGATGTTATAGCCCATAGATATGTAGGTGGTGAAGGTCACAGGTAGTGGTTATCAGATACTTCAGAGCCAAAAGCTTTCATATTTCATTTTGCCTAGCTTTTTGTTTCTTTTTTCCGACCCATCTTGACGGGAACTTGGAAGGACCCTAAACCTAAACCCATTATTCTAACCCTTAACCCAAAACCCATCAATTCCGCAGGTTTAAGGTTTGGGTTTGGGTTCAGGGTTTACAGCTCTGGGTTTTGGGCGCCAGCAGCTCTAAGGGCTAGACTACTTTTTGATTCAGAAAGGTTTGGGGATGTAGGGTTTAGGGAAAAAATTCTCAGGAATTGAGGGTTTAGGGACTTGCCTGGTGAGCGTAATTGTATTGGACGTCCGTTGTCATGTAGGTGACGCTTGTTGCAAGCTGCTACATGGCCATGTCCATCGATAGGGGGCCCCATGATGTAGCACAAAGTATTCTAATCCTCATTATAGGACTTCCAGAAATGGACCGCAGTTGTTTGGAAGCCCCCATATTGTGATGCTGGTTTTCTTCTTCTCCACTTGTGACTTGCCTCTTTAGGCCTCTGACTCCCCCTCCCCCTGATATCGATAGTGGAGAGACACGTGGAAAGAGCATGGAAAATAAAACGGAGACTAGGGTGACTAGGGTTATATCAGTTATGTAGGGATTATATACTGTAGGGATTAGCCCCTCCCTTGAATATGAAAACCCCACACCTTCCAATATATTGAACATGCCGAATGAATTATGTATAGTATACCATCATGGGAACATTGCATTAGGGGGTCGGGGTTTGAGCGGCGGGGGAGGGGATTAGATCCTTGGCCCTAATCTTGAACCCTAAGCCCAGCTGCCAACCGTAAGCCATGGAATCTGAACCCCAAACCCCTAAACCCCTAAACCCCTAAACCCTATATCCTAAGTCCTAAGCCCTATACCCCAAATCCTGAGCACGAAACCCTAAGCCCAAAACGCCATTACCCCTAAACCGGAAAACCTTAGACCCCATACCCCTAAACCCTATACCCTGAACCCTATACACCCTACACCCTATAAACCCTATACCCTACACCCTAAACCCTAAACCCTATAAACCCTATACCCTAAACGCCACTAACCCTAAACCCTAAACCCTCAATAGTAGTTTCCTTTTATTTTCCATTATCCTAATAAAACCCCAATGTAACCCTAATATTACCCCAATGGGCAACACAGGTACAACCCTAAGCCCTAAACCCTAAACCCTAAACCCTAAATCCTAAACCCTAAACCCTAAACCCTAAACCGTGCTACTCGGGATCCCTCAGCTCGGGTTTGGAAAACTTCGCATCCGTCCGCCGGAG